CCCCCAGGGGTCCACAGACCACAGGTTGAAAACCACTGCTTTAGAGGACTCAGAAATAGGACATGTGCAGAGTCATCCATCCCTGGACATATCCCCCTCATCCCTCACTGCTGTATTTAATAGCCCTTCCTGGACCTGCCCTTCATTAATGTGTCTAATCCCTTTCTGAACCCTTCCATGTACATCCTATGGCAGTGAGTTCCTCAGGTTAATTATGTGCTGCATAAAAAGCACTTCCATACACTTGCTCTATGCCTGCTCATTTCATTAGGCAGTGGCAATGCGTAGGGAGTGCACACGGGTGCACGTGCGCCCCCTGAGATTGGCTGCGCACCCCCTGGGACCACCAGCCGTGGTTTCGCCAGACCCCACTCCCCCCACCCTGGTCAGTGATCAGCCTCTGGGGGACCATTGTCCCCCATCAGTGATCTGGTGCCCCCCCCCAGACTTGGGAGGCACCAGTCACCCATGTCATTGAGTGCCCCGGCGTCTGTACTCAGCTTCATAAATATACATTGGGAGTGACTACTGAAGCCAGTGGAGCTATTGCAGAGCAAAACTGATGTAAGCAGTGGAAAATCAAGGTTGTATAGAGAAACCTTCAGAAGTTGCAGGTTTGGGCAGGTACATTATGGCCATGAGGAGCATACAGCCTTCTTTCCAGAGGTGTCATGTATTCCCAGATGGGGTTTGGCTGCTTGGCATTTTAACTGGTTAGACTTGGTGAATCAATAGTACATATGGGGACAATAAGAGCAGCAAGCTTGGCAGCAGCATGTTGTGTGACCTGGATAGAGCAAAGAGAAGAGAAACAGCAATATCCAAAGTCCCTTCCATCTGCTGCAGGAGGAGTAAAAGTGCACCTAGGCATTTGTCATGGAGCATATGACAAATGCTGCAAGTTTACACCTTATTTCATTGTACCATAACTCACCTCATGTGCTTATATGCATACACTGGGTATTAAATGCTGAGAACTATCCCAAGCATATTTCCTTGTGCCAGTCTCTCCAGTTTGGTAGGATTTCTGTTCTACTAGATCTGCAACCAGCCATATCCAGAAAGCCCTAGGGAAACACATAGCATTCAGAAGTCTGGTATTTATGCATGTAGTACTACATATACACAGTGCACAATGTCTTACTTGAAAGTAAAACAATGCTCCCATAACACGCTTCACAGTGCTTTTTAAATGCACCTGGGAGGTCCTATAACCCAGTCCTTGGTGAACAAATAATCAGCAAGTTCCTTTGAAAGTCACTGACCTGAACAAGTGCCACGGCAAGCTCTGTTTTCCCTCTTTCTATCCTGAAAGCTGCTCAGATCACATTACTTGTAATGTGGCCCCTGGCTCCATTCACCAGTCTCTGCCTCTTTCCCAGCTCCCTCTGTCATCTCATGCCTGTTGTGCTGGCTCTAAGGGCTGTAAAAGCTGCTGGGGAAAACAAGGTGAAACAAAGGTTAGTGTGGAGAGGGAGGAGGAAGAGCAGGTTGGAATCAGGGGGAGAGCAAAGGGTATTTAATGAGATTTCCTGGGGAAATGAAAGCGGTCGGATCAGCATTGGCAATGGGGGTGTCCCCAGTTGCACT